AGACCTGCAGCGTCGTTGTAACTCAAGAATGGACTTTTCTGAAGCTTCTGGATGTCTGTCTCTTCAATCACTGGCTTGTGTTCCACTTTCTGCTTTCCTTCTTTGCGGTTGACCTTTAGCTTACTCTCYAACATTTTGTTGGACCTTGCGAACCGAGGGTTGTYGGCAATCTTGATGTGTCGATCGTGAGAAACCAAGTACCTTTCCACAGCACTTCTAAAGCCCAGGAGTGAGGAACGACTATACTCTTCACCGTTCTTTGTTCTGGCTTCTGCATAAAACCGTCTGAGGGTAGAATCAATTTGTTCGTCGCTCATCAAGGCTAAACGGGACGGGGCGACACCGCGAAGTCGACACCATTCTTCAGAAGAAAAAAAACAAATGCAAAGAAAACGAGTGAGTAAAATACTATAAATTGTCGCATGTTCAAACAAAGAAATTACCTTCAATTGTTGACACTATCCATTTAGTGTTTCTTTTTGTTCCCTTCGCCTCTGCATTTGTAACTATCTCTCCTAAATCTTTTTCGTTCAGTGTTGCGAAACGAGCAGCAGATTTTGCGGAGTCAGGATTCACTTCAGGTTGAACACTTTCGATTTTTTCCACTTCGTTGAGCAGTTCGTCGTCATTTAGTGTGTTTGCATTAAAAAAGTCTAAGTTAAACGTGGGAAATGCGGGAAAATCCATGTTTTCCTAGTGAAAAAAGTTTTTAAAGAAAAAACATGCACTCTCGAGAAAGTACGCGTCATTGCCATTGTCTAAACTCTCAGTGACAATAGCTCTCGACCAATCAGCGCGCGAGAAATCTACAAGTTATTATAAAATAGTGTATTTTAAAAGAGGTTATTAACCGAGCGTGAGGTCTGTACGGGAAAATTATCAGACCTAGGTCTTGACAGTACAGAGCGAGCACGGCGAGATCCGTACATAAAAGACCGATGCCTGATATTTTCTCGAACAGATAGAGCAAGCGAGGTTAATAACTCGTTTATTATATGACTTTTATATCGTAGATTATGTATAAGAACTACTCAAAGTATGAAGGAAAAGTCTCACTGGCTAATAACTTAGAACACGTTGCCTCCCTCTATCATAGCACCGCTTTTCTCACGATATCTCACGAGATGAGTATAAAATGACAGGTTGAATCCCTTGGCTTTTCACTTTTGCTTTGAGTAGTTTGTGGACTTATGTTCTGGCTTCTTTTGAGTTTTACAACTTCATTGAGTTTTTCTTCCAATATAATCCTTTTTGGGCTATCTTTAAATTGTGGTGAATACTTATCGAGCATTTCTAACTAGCTGGATTGATGCCGCTGGCATTGAATACAACTGTACGGTCAACTCGGAAAAGAGCGGGAAAGTCAAGTGCTAAGACGCAAGCACGTGCAAAAAAGGCGGGAGTAGTTGAAATTGAGCCATCTTTCTTTCAGATGATTAAAAAAAAATGGATTTTGTTTGGATTTTTTTTATAGCAAAGAAAGTCTCAAATCTGACAAACAAAGTTTTCTTGATTCCCTCGATCCAACTTACTCTAACTGACATAAATAAGAAATAAAATCCGTGGGCTTTTCACAATGGCCTGAAGTATTTTGAAACTATGAAAGCCAGAGCCATCAACACAGTTTCAGGAAAAAACCTTAGGAATGGTTACTGCATGAGCTGGAGGAGTACAAAAGTATCGGACAGCCATCAGTGAATAAAGTCGAAATAGCTTGACAGCTAAGTGGTTTCATTTGGACTAAAAACGAAAGCATTCTTGATTTGACAATTTGAAGAATTGCACGAAAAATTCAGTCCATCCCTCCATCATTTTATACTTTTTCGTATAATGAGAGCTGAATTAAGTTATTATATCCTTTGGTGCATTAGATAACCTCCCCTTTACATTGGCAGATTATTGTGTGAACTTGCCGGCTCACGATTTTCTCAATCAGTATGTAACAAATGGTAATATTTATAAGGTCATGTCACCTACTGGTACTTGATTAAAGCCAAGACGATGAGCTGTGAGTAGTAAGGGGGTTAGTTGGGGGCTACGACCGGCCCGCGATACTAGGTGGTCAGCGGTGTGCGGTCTCCGACCTTGTTGCTAACCTCCGACCTTGTTGCTAGGGTGAGCCCGCGGGGTAGGGTGTGACCGGAAGTGACGTCATCAAAAACCGGAAGTGTCCGAACCGGAAGTGACTTGGACCGGAAGTGACGTCATCAAACAAACAACAACAGTACGATTTCAAAAATTTGATTTTATTTGATCGAGTAACCACAGGTACATTTCTTCTTCGCGATTCTCGTGAAGGAGTTCGCACCACCGATCGTAGTTTACAAAGCGCAATCGGTGCAATCCGAACCGACTTTTCAAAACGTACCAGACGATCAGTTTGAGRGTKCGTCCGTTTCCATCGGAGAACGGGTGAAGGYGRAGAAAGGAGACTGCCATYTGGGCCARAGCTCGGACGGGRTCTTCTTGASMYRCGTCGCGATGGTACGCGTCGATCAGACGTTGCATGCGATCGTGAAGGATCTCGGGRCGAGCGTAATGACGAAAGGTGCCTCGGTACCAGGTCCCTCGCGGACGTGTGCTGTACCGAGCTTCGAAAGGTCGGTTCAGGACGAGACGGTTCACTTCGAAAAACAGTTCGTGTTCCAGCAGTCCAGCGTCTTGACCGCATCGGGTGAGCGGGTCCAGATACAACGAGGCTTGAACCACGCCGGCGCACTCTTCGATCACTTCTTTTGTTCCGGTCCGTCCTTCGCTTTCCAAGAGTCGCACGACGGTCTTGAGGTCCATCATCCTCATCTAGGATTCGTCAATGGCGTGAATAAACCAGTCGGTCAGATCTTTAGGGATGGCAGAATACCAGTAGATTTTCAATCGACGACACAACACTATCACCATTCCCTTCATCGAGGGGTCTGTGACTTCCGTCCACTCATGCCAGAGTTTCAAGGCCTCGTCGACAGAGAGCTGGTGCAGAGTGTGCACGTATTCGCGGCTTTGARTGGYGGGTTCCAACTKGATCARSTSATACATATGGTCGATGCATTGTTGCAGGAGATCCATGGGCATGTGTTGCTTCACCCCGTCGTAGTATTGGTCAAAGATCTGTCCGTCATGACCCAGTTCGCTTCGGGGCACGTTTCGAATCCGATCCAGCATTCTTTGAACGCAGGATTCGACGTAAGCGTAACCGACCACCTTGTGGAGGAATTCGCGTTGCGATGTAGATAAGGCCTTCATCTCGGAACGATGGTTGCGTCGATGTGATGCGATTTTTGGAGAGAGTGGTGRATTTTATGGTTTCGTCGCAGCGGTCATAAAGAGCGAGGAGCGTAGGAAAAATAAATCATTTGTGCATTGACATGTTTCGCATCGAGGTCAAAGAAGATTGTATGGTGACCACGTTCACGTGGGATAAAAAAGAAAACAAGAAGAAGAAGAGCGACGGCGTGTTCCAGAACATGAGACTCGTTCGGTTGGTGTCGACGACGGGGGAAACGGTCGTGATCGAACGGATCGAGGAATCGTTCTACCCTCAATGGAATGTGTGGTCTTACAATGTGACCTTGAACGATAAACGAGATGAGAGTATGTTCATCTTTCAGGCTCCGACCGCCAACGCCGTCGAAGCATACGAATATTTTAAAATCCATCACCCCAAGACCAGACCGTCCATCACTCGTTTCGGTGGACTGGGTCCTAGTTCCAACACCAACAACAGCGGTGGATTGGGTTCTACATCATCATCATCAGGCAAGTTCAACCGCGGATTTTTTGGTTCCGACAACAACAACAACACCAGTAATGTCACATACCCAGTGAAAGCGGGCTTCACTCCTTTTGGTTCCCGTTTGCCGTTGTTTGGCGCCAAAGCGTTTCCAGAAAAAGAAGAAGAAGAAGAAAGAATGGAAGAAGTCGAACCTGACCCCAAACGCGTCAAAACGAGTTCATAAAACCAAAACAGAGAGAGAGAGGATTTTCAGTCATGACTGTTACGTTGCGGTGTTTCGATCTCCGAGATCGACCGATGATCAAAGACTGGATGGAACGGACGGAAAAGAGAGGTCAAGAGTGGTCGGACCGATACGTGCTCAGCGATCAGGATTGGAAAGAGTTTCGTTGGCGGTGGATGGAGAGGCGAGACATCGAAGACGAATCTGAGTACGAAGAGACGGGGACCTTCGCTCAAGTCCTGTACATGCGACTCATGACCTTTCTGTCGTGGGANGTACTATGATGTCCCCTCTTGTGATTCTCGCTTACCATCGAGAAGGGTTCGAGCAGATGGATGAGCTTCTGGTCGGATTCGAATACCAACTGAAAGGAGCTCAACGATCGAGCGCCAGACAGACACGTCAACGCAAACTTTGGGAAATGGCTTACAATGCTGCCCTGGATCATCTTACCCTCATGTTCGTGAACATGAAAGACGTTCGTGAAAAATAAAGAAGAAGAAAAGAACACTCCATTCTCACCTCACCCTTCGAGATCGCAACATCACCAGCAGCAGCAACAGCATGAACACCTCCAAGAAATCCCCCTCCTTCCCCTCTCCTAAAAAACAAGAGGACGTGAGTACAGATATGGAAGGTGTTTCTCGTTTTCGAATTGAAGACGTGATAGAAGACTTGGACGGGGTCGTAGAAGTTATATCATACGAGGCATCATTCGACACCTATGAGCTTCTCAAGGAATCCGTGAAGCTGATTCAGGAGAAGCTGATCCGTCACTGGTATGAAAGGAACCCCTCGAACTGAACCTCGTCATTTTTTTTCAAGACGTCAGGATGAACACCACCAAGAAATCTTCTCTCCCTCCACACCCCGAAGACGTGATGATGGACGTGATCGTGATGGACGAAATCTACGAGATCGATAACCTTCTGTACCAAATGTCATCGCATTTCATTCGTAAAAAAGCCAGCATTCAGGACAAACTCCGAGAGATTCAAGAGACGTTGGCCCGACACGGGTATGAAGGACGCCGCTTGTGAATCTCCCCCTCACATCGACGTTTGACGTTACACCATGAGCACCTTTGGCATGACGAATCAGGAATTGAAAGAAAACGTGGACCATCTCGTCCGAGTTTTGTCGAGCACGTGTTTCTCTCACGCCGAGGAACATTTGGAAGGTCATTGGAAGACCCAACAAGATCAGGCGTGGGTGGAGAAGGAGAGAAAACATTTGGAAGGTTATTGGATAGAGAGACAAGCCGAAGTGGATAGAGGCGAAGAGGAGTTTCTGGCCCTAGAATTGGTCGAACCGGATTTGATAGAGAATTTGGACACGCTCATGGAKATCAGTTACCATTTGGAAGCCTACTTTACTCGCGAAGGTGTTGAATTTCGCGACAAAATCCGAGAGATTAAAGGTATTGTACTTGGAGTGGGGCCGGAACCTTGGAAAGAAGAAGACGTGCTTCGAAAGGTGGACGAGGTCGGATTCACAGAGTACCGACAGAACTTGGAAAAGAATGTGGGATTGTACCTGGATCAGGAGAAGGCCAAACTCTCTCAGATTTTGGATCAGATGATGTCGGTGRTGATAAAAACGCAATGCCCCACGCCACCTTCTTCACAATCGACATGTCCCCTACCAGAGAAGAAGACAACGTGAATCTCTTCGGTCTCGACCGATACC